TAACTTACACACAGTAAAAGATTGGCATCCAATACAAAAACAGCAAAGTAACGTATTATTTTCAGATTCCACATTTGATCGATAAACGGGTATAATAAATCATTTTATTTGTATTTAAGCACATTATCTACTTTCGAATAGAAACATACACACACATTGTATGTATGTACATGTATTGTACATATAAGCAAATCAAAACATATCCAAATATACATATGTACATACGTATTTGGTCAAAAGTTCAAATCTTAAGATTAATATTTAACTTGGAAACATTTTGGCTTTGCTTACAGAATTTGTAGTAATTTTCTATTTTCTTCCATGGTGGAAATTAAAAAAGGCTCTTACTTCTGCTACAAAATGAAAAATAAAACCTAAGCATTTGATCCACAGGACTGACTATTGATCGAAAATCCTATTGATCGGAGCAGCAGTTTAAGTTTTTAAAATCCAAAACAAATTTAAATTTAATCGCCTCTTTCCCTCCCCTTTCCCTGCAGCACTACCCCTCCCCATCATCAGGCTCACGCAAAATGCAACGCAATAACTTAGAAAATCTAAATAAATTCGTTAAAAATACTTTTAAAAATGTTAAAAACTTGAAAAATTAAACTTAAGCATTTGGGCCATAGAATAACTATTGAGCGAAAAATCATCTTGATCGGAGCAGCGGTTTAGATTTTTTAAATCGAAAAGTTAATTTTAAGTGTAGCCCCCAAATTATGGGGGATATCGAAATTTCTTTTAGATTTCTAATTAGGCCTTTTCAAAACCTAAAATTTGGAAAAAGCCAAATATCGAAATTCCAACCACTTTAGAAGTTAAGCTTAAATACATCAACGTTTTTTGCTCAGAATAATGGATGTTGGAGCTGTTTGGGGCCACTGGGGGGACATATCGGATCTTAGTGGGCGCCCACGCCCCCAATGGAATACTGTGAAAAAATTTGGCTGCTCTTGCTCTTACGGTTTGGGCTGTGGCCGTATCCTCTTAAAAATCGGTCTTTCATTTTATAATCTTTAGGGATGAAAGTGATCCAAGTAAAAGTCGTGAGCTTGTATACTTTTTATCAGTTACAATGTTATCAATGCAATTTTAATTTGCGCACAAATATGTATACTTGTTTGTAAATTGGAATTTGTTGTTTTCAAATTTCTTGTTTTGAATGAAACGAAAACCTTTGTACACACGGTAAAAGATTGGCATCCAATACAAAAACAGCAAAGTAACGTATTATTTTCAGATTCCACATTTGATCGATAAACGGGTATAATAAATCATTTTATTTGTATTTAAGTACATTATCTACTTTCGAATAGAAACATACACACACATTGTATGTATGTACATGTATTGTACATATAAGCAAATCAAAACATATCCAAATATACATATGTACATACGTATTTGGTCAAAAGTTCGAATCTTAAGATTAATATTTAACTTGGAAACATTTTGGCTTTGCTTACAGAATTTGTAGTAATTTTCTATTTTCTTCCATGGTGGAAATTAAATAAGGCTCTTACTTCTGCTACAAAATGAAAAATAAAACCTAAGCATTTGATCCACAGGACTGACTATTGATCGAAAATCCTATTGATCGGAGCAGCAGTTTAAGTTTTTAAAATCCGAAACAAATTTAACTTAAATTGCCTCTTTCCCCTCCCCTTTCCCAGCAGCACTACCCCACCCCATCATCAGTTTTCTTGGCTGTTGCTCTCTCGGCCGTCGCTCTCTTGGCTTCTGGGTTTCGTTCTCTCGACAGGCTCCCGCAAAATGCAATGTAATGACTTAGAAAATCTAAATAAATTCGTTAAAAATACTTAAAAAAATGTTAAAAACTTGAAAAATTAAACCTAAGCATTTGGGCCATAGAATAACTATTGAGCGAAAAATCATCTTGATCGGAGCAGCGGTTTAGATTTTTTAAATCGAAAAGTTAATTTTAAATGTAGCCCCCAAATTATGGGGGATATCAAAATTTCTTTTAGATTTCTAATTAGGCCTTTTCAAAACCTAAAATTCGGAAAAAACCAAATATCGAAATTCCAACCAGTTTAGAAGTTAAGCATCAACTTTTTTTTGCTCAGAATAATGGATGTTGGAGCTGTTTGGGGGCACTGGGAGGCCATATCGGATCTTAGTGGGCGCCCACGCCCCCAATGGAATACTGTTTAAAAATTTGGCTGCTCTTGCTCTTACGGTTTGGGCTGTGGCCGTATCCCCTTAAAAATCGGTCTTTCATTTTATAATCTTTAGGGATGAATGAATTTCCTTGGTTGACCGAATACGTGTGTGTATTTCTGAGTGGCATAAGTATATTTCATTCTTTTGAGTGTATTTGTTTTTGAACATTTTCAAGAAATTACTATTTAGTATTGGGTTTGCGAAAATATAGTTATACTAGCTGTACCCGGCGCGACTTCGTTCGCTTAAAATTAGTTTTGAGTACGGTTGTCAAGACTTTCCCAATTCCACACCATCCCTGAGGTAGAGAAATTGGCTCGTTTTTTTTAATGTGGTATCTCCAATTAGACCTATTCCACTGAAACTTTCTAGGTTTAATAATGTTAATTAATATGATTACTTTAAAACCTCTGTGTAAACAAAATTTTTAGAAGATCCTTCAGGAGCGAGAATAATAAGGCTACTGGCAGAGCTAACTCTAGAGCATGCGACATAAAATTGTCCGTGAGAGAAGCAATCTTCTCTAAGATCTAGTCCAGCCAGCTTCAAACTCTGCCCCTGCGATTTATTTATAGTTATTGCAAAGCAAACTTTTAGAGGGAATTGTAGCCTTTTAAACTGAAACGGCAGACTGGATGGTATTAATGGGATCCTGGGTATAAACACTGTTTCCCCCTTCGTGCACCCCGTAAATACTGTTGCTTCGATTACATTCTTATGAAGACCTTTTATCTGCAATCGTGTCCCATTGCCTAACTTTGGGGGACTTAAATTTCGCAATAATATTACGGGTGCTCCAATCCTAAGAGACAGATTATGCTGAGGAATTCCTGGAGGATTCAAGGAATTTAAAAATTCAACAGGGTAATGAACAGCATTATCAGCATCAGGAACAGAGTCGACCGATTTATAGGAGACTTATAAACCATCAAATGAGTTTAGCAATAAATTATTAATAGTGGTTGCTCTTTCATTTTTCGTTGTGAAAATGGCGCGCTCAGATAGCCAATCTAAGCTTTTACATGATATGTTGGAAATGTCAGGAAATATTTTGGATGTAAGGTCTTGAACGTTTTTGACTACATTTCCTAAGCGTGATGTTATAACTATTTTTCCATCAACTGTTGGATGGACGCCATTCCCAATTTTTAAAAGAGTTTCGGCAAAAATTCCTGCAGAACTGTCTCCTTTTAAGTGCACTCGCATATTTTTCGTGACCGCTAGTTTTTTTATCTGTGGCCATAAAAATGAAGATTTTAAACAGGCCTTTATTTCGTCAGCTCTTGTACCTCTTGGCACAACAGGAAGGGTTTGGCCATAGTCTCCAGCTAGCAGGACTGTAATACCACCCATCAACATAGTATTCTCATTAATATCTTGCAGGGTTCTATTTATGGCTTCAAGCCCACCTTTATGTGACATTGTGCACTCATCCCAAACAATTAACTTACAATCTTTAAACACCGCAGCCATATTACATTGCTTTGAAATAGAGCAATGAGGTGTTTCTAAATTAACTAAATCCAAAGGAAGTTTAAATGTAGAATGAGCAGTTCGACCTCCATTGAGCAGGGTAGCAGCTATACCGGAAGATGCTACAGCTAGAGCCATTTTTTTTTAACTTCGAACTTTTGCCAACAATAAGTTTGTCAAGAAGGTTTTACCTGTCCCTCCAGGTGCATCCAAAAAAAATATTTCACCCATCTCAGCCCCAACGCTTTGTAAAATTGTATTGTATACGACTTTTTGCTCGTTCGCTTAATATTAGTTTAGAGTTAGGAAATTGGGTTGTCAGGACTTTCTTATTTCTTATTTGGGCGTTTTTTGAAAACCTTTGTGTAAACAACCTTTGTAGAAGATCCTTCAAGAGAGAGAATCAGAAGGATACTGGCAGAGCTATATAATAAACAGGGCTGTGAACCACTCCGGAGCTGAACCACTCCGAACCGGAGTGGTTCACATTTTTTAGAAAACGAACCGAACCGTAAACCGGAGCGCCGAAGTTTTTTATAATTGAACCGGAGCCGAACCGGAACTTTTTTTTTTGATATTCGGTAGGTTCAAAAAAAATTGATTTTGTGTGTTCTTGTTTTTTTATTCAACATTGTGGGGGATTTTCTGATCATATTAACATAGAGTTTATTTATTAAGGGAAATAAAAATGCTCAAATATATTGTCTATGCAATGCCTGCATCTAACTCAATCAATCTAATAATATATAATTATCATCTTCCAAAACTTTTCGCAGTATGCCCGCATTAAAATTACATGATTAAATTCATGGTAGTATACTAATAATAGAGTATTTCCAGTAAGACGATTTTCTATGCGGAATGTTAAAAAAACATATTTAATTATGTGAATGTAACAAAAAAACAAGAAAGGAAAGCTAACTTCGGGCGGAGCCGAAGTTGATATACCCTTGCAGAATACTCTGTAAATTATATTCTCCAAAATTATTCATATGATGCATTCTTAATAACATCTATGTTTCGATGGGTTTCAGAAAAAAACATCGATATATCGATACATCGAATTCTATACTAATTTTAACGTATATTTTAGTTTTTTATATTTAATTAATCAAAAATGTGTTAAGATTACCAAGATTCTTTCCTGCCAAACATTGATGGGTAAAGAGGAAACATCGATGTTTGTAAACATCGATGTTTCCCAAGTTTTGGAAAACATCGATGTATCGTTACATCGCCGATGTTATTTCCAGCTCTAGTTGGGAGTTCCAATTCTTCGAAATGGCTCTTTTACCAGCAGCAATAGTAAACCAAAAACTTCACGACTTCTTCATTTATAATGAAGACAATAATAAAAATAAGTGTAAACTTTGCGATTTCGAAATGACAGGCAAACATGCCTCAAATTTAAAACGGCATATTGAAAGGAAGCACAAGGAGTTGGTACAGAAAATTGAAACAAATAAGAAGCAAGTAGCAGCCGACCAGCCACCTATAAAGCAATTCTTGGAAACAGCGTATGTCAAAGTGAAAATCACCAAAGCTGACATTTTAGATGCTTGCCTGGAACTAGTCACTAAAAATGGGCGTCCATTAAAAATAGTTGAAGATTCTGGTTTTTTAAAAATTCTAAAGCCCATGTGTGACGCTTTTAGCCCTCCATTGAAAATCAATCGCTTTAACATACGGAACTTAATTCAGGAAAAAGCTAGTAGCATTCGCTTACACATTAAAAATGTTCTACAAAATCGGTTAGTCCAACAGAACCCCTGTTACTTGGTGATATTACATTTTGTTTTATATATTTTTTTAGACTTATATCTATAAAAGTGGATTGTGTAAGCCGTTTGGATCGTGCTATCATCGGAATAAACGCTCAGCTTCATAATGGTTCGGAAGTAAGGTGCTACACATTAGCTATGAAAGAAATACACGTGCAGCATACAAGCGTAAACTTAACCACGATTATCCAAAAAGTGCTGGAGTCTTTTGAAGTTTCGCTCCGACAAATATATACGCTGACGGTGGACAATGGTGCCAATATGGTTTTGGCGGGAAATAAACTAAACCAATTATGTAGGGTTGACCTCGATGCAGAGCACTCCGAATGCGAATGCATTTTTACAGAAATTGAAATAGATCAAATTCAAGTGGATTTACCTCAGGACTCAATCACCACAGTGCGTTGCGCAGCGCACACTTTAAATTTAGTTGTTTCTGATTTTTTAAAAGAAATCAAGATTGATTTATCTAAAATACGCACTTTATGTAAAGAACTAAGAACTCCAACCATTCTAAATCTGCTTCATTTAGAAAATTTAAACAAGCCGATATTAGACTGCGCCACGCGGTGGAATTCCACGTATTTAATGTGCGACCGAGTTCTTACATTAAAAGAATTTTGTCTAAAAAGCTCAAATGACATAAAAGAACTTCGTTTAAAAAACACCGAATGGGACGCAGTGAAAAATTTGTGTGATTTGCTGAAACCTCTTTATGGGTTCTCTTTAAAGCTTCAGAAACTGAATTTGTTGCCAAGTGACTTCTATTTCCAGTGGTTTTCTCTTCGCTCTAAGACATTAAAATCGTCCTCTAAATATAGTGTAGCATTGTCAAAATGCTTAGAAAAGCGATCACACATATTGAATTCAGTTCCTATAATATCATCCGTTTTTCTTGACCCTAGATATCAAGTAGTATTATTAAGAGAGCAAAAAAATGACGCTAAGGCACACCTACGTGAAATATATCAAAGGCAACTTGCCTTGGGTGATGATGCCGTTTTCAATGCCTCTGCGGCCTCTGCATGTTCAATAGATGATGAAAATGAAAATTTATTATCTCAATATGATACTAACTATAATATTAAAGGCAGGAAAACAGCTTGTGATTTTATTAATTCTTTCGATGGCATAGAAAGAATTAGAATGAAAGACGATAGTATTTTGAAGTTTTGGGACGTCTATCGATGTGAAAACTTAAGAAAACTAGCTTATGTTGTTCATGCCGTACCTGCTACACAGGTATCAGTAGAAAGGGCGTTTTCCACTTTGAAATTTGTTTTATCTGATCTCAGGGGTAGCATTGATGAAGATATTTTGGAAGATATTATGTTAGTTAACCTCAACTGATGAACACTTTATAAATCATACATCTTGTAACTTTACTTATAAGTCTTAATGTTATGGTACATATTTGAAGGAAAATACATGGAAATAAATGTTGACTTTATTATTTCATTAAAAAAAAATTATTTATTTGAACCCTGGTTCGAACCTGAACCCTGCTCCGGCTCATCAATGAACCGGATCGCAAACCGGAACATTATCTGTCGATTAGGTTTGAACCCCGAACCGAACCCATGCCAAAATAATATGGGTTCACAGCCCTGATAATAAATGAAAGTGATCCAAGTAAAAGTCGTGAGCTAGTATACTTTTTATCAGTTACAATGTTATCAATGCAATTTTAATTTGCGCACAAATATGTATACTTGTTTGTAAATTGGAATTTGTTGTTTTCAAATTTCTTGTTTTGAATGAAACGAAAACCTTTGTATACACAGTTAAAGATTGGCATCCAATACAAAAACAGCAAAGTAACGTATTATTTTCAGATTCCACATTTGATCGATAAACGGGTATAATAAATCATTTTATTTGTATTTAAGCACATTATCTACTTTCGAATAGAAACATACACACACATTGTATGTATGTACATGTATTGTACATATAAGCAAATCAAAACATATCCAAATATACATATGTACATACGTATTTGGTCAAAAGTTCGAATCTTAAGATTAATATTTAACTTGGAAACATTTTGGGTTTGCTTACAGAATTTGTAGTAATTTTTAAAAAATATATTTTTTTTTTTTTTTTTTTTTTTTTTTTTTTAATAAGATTTTTTTAACCCTATTATTATTTTTTTTTTTTTTTTTTTTTTTTTTTTTTTTTTTTTTTTTTTTTTTTTTTTTTTTTTTTTTTTTTTTTTTTTTTTTTTTTTTTTTTTTTTTTTTTTTTTTTTTTTTTTTTTATTAAAATTTAAAAGTTTTTATTTTTTTTTTTTTTTTTTTTTTTTTTTTTTTTTTTTATTTTTTTTTTTTTTTTTTTTTTTTCCCCCCCCCTTTTAACCCCTCTAATTTTTTTTTTTTTTTTTTTAAAATTTTTTTTTTTTTTTTTTTTTTAATTTTTTTTTTTTTTTTTTTTTTTTATATATTTTTAAATTTTATTTTTTTTTTTTTAAATTTTTTTTTTTATTTATTTTTTTTTTTATTTTTTTTTTTTTCCCTCCCCCCCCCTCCCTTTCTTTGATTAAGGGGTTTTTTTTTTGGGGGGGCCCCCAACTATAGCGTTCTCTCTTTTTTTCTATTTTCTTCCATGGTGGAAATTAAATAAGGCTCTTACTTCTGCTACAAAATGAAAAATAAAACCTAAGCATTTGATCCACAGGACTGACTATTGATCGAAAATCATATTGATCGGAGCAGCAGTTTAAGTTTTTAAAATCCTAAACAAATTTAACTTAAATTGCCTCTTTCCCCTCCCCTTTCCCTGCAGCACTACCCCTCCCCCTCATCAGTTTTCTTGGCTGTTGCTCTCTCGGCCGTCGCTCTCTTGGCATCCGCTCTCTGGGTTTCGCTCTCTCGACAGGCTCACGCAAAATGCAACGCAATAACTTAGAAAATCTAAATAAATTCGTTAAAAATACTTAAAAAAATGTTAAAAACTTGAAAAATTAAACTTAAGCATTTGGGCCATAGAATAACTATTGAGCGAAAAATCATCTTGATCGGAGCAGCGGTTTAGATTTTTTAAATCGAAAAGTTAATTTTAAGTGTAGCCCCCAAATTATGGGGGATATCGAAATTTCTTTTAGATTTCTAATTAGGCCTTTTCAAAACCTAAAATTCGGAAAAAACCAAATATCGAAATTCCAACCACTTTAGAAGTTAAGCTTAAATACATAAACTTTTTTTTGCTCAGAATACAATCGTCTTTGACTTTGTATTTTGTATTTTGTTTTCGTTTATTCCCATCGGTGGGTTTTATAAAAACAACATTAAATTTTCTTTCGGTTATTTAAACATAAATTTAAACTCCGTTCGCTTCGCGAGTGCACTTTGTATTGATACTAATAAATTGTTTTAGTTTTTCGTAATTCTTATCTGTGTTTTCTATCCTATTTATATCCACGCTGTTTCTCTTTTGTGCATGCACTTTAACTTATTTACGCTCCCGCTCTCTTGCTCTCTTTGCTTTTGAAAGTTCTAAGCGTGCAGTTTCTGCGCTCTTGCGGTACTTATAACTGCTCGCTTATAAATTTCAATTTCGCTTTCTTGGTACAGTGGTAAATAAATAAAATGAATAATAAAAATTTAGTCTGCTTCTGCAAAAAATGCAGCCTCGTAATCAGGGCTGACCAGTCTAATATGACTTGCTGGCTGTGTGAAAATATGGTGCACACCAAGTGCGCCGGTTTTACTGGCCGGACAAAAGGACCTTTCAAAGGGGCCCAATTTGCAGTTATGTTGTGACGCTTGTGTCGAGGTTGCGAACGAGATGAAATCGTTCATGCGCCAAACTAAAGGCGGCCTGATGGGACTGATTAGCTGTTTCGGAGTGGCTAGAGATAGTTTTCGCCGAGCTGATGATCTCCTCTCTGCGCTGGACTCGCAGTTTAATAGTCGTAAGCTATTAGAAGAGTCCCCTAAGCGCAAAAAGGCCGCTGGTGGTAAGGAGCAAAAGGGGAACACCCCGCAACCGAAATCAAAAGAACAACAGAGCATTCCGGCGGATAAGCAGCTGATTTCAGCAAACCCTCAAATGTTGCTAAGATCAGCAGCTAAAAAGATTCGGTATCCGAACAATCCGTTACAGAATGCATGCAACCAGGGACTTCTAAGAATTCCGATTTGTCCGTAGTGGTTTCACAATTAGTGGATCCACCTATCTCTCAGAATGTAGTATCACCACCACAAGGGACTACTGAGTCCGGATAACCGGCTCAAGTTGGTTTTGCAGAAACAATGTCTGCTCCACCAAAATCCCTTTTAGTGGTTCCACTAAAGAAACAAATTTTCGTTTCTCGGCTTTCCCCTGATCAAACATCTTCTGATGTATTGTCTTATATACAAGACAAAACTAAAGCCGATTGTAATAGTGTAAAGGTGGAAAAGTTTAAGTTTTCTTATGCTAGAGACATTTCATCTTTCAAGATAACTGTCCCTAAAGAGCTTTTTGAAGCCATATGCTCGGGCGACTTTTGGCCGGATAATATGGTTGTAAAAGAGTTCGAGGCTAAGATAAAGAAGAGGGGGCCCGTAGGAGTAAAACTTCCTAGTCGAGGCCAAACCAGTGTACCAATTTCAAAAAACTAACTTCTAACCTCCTTCTTTCCTATCAGAATGCAAGAGGTTTGCGTAGCAAACTCACTAAATTGTATTCTGATAGCCTTTCCTTTGCATCTCATATTATTGTGTTCACAGAAACCTGGTTAAAGCCGGAGATCTTTAGCTCCGAAGTTTTTCCAGGTAAGTACACAATATATAGGTATGACCGTCCCTCTAGACGGGGAGGTGGAGTCTTAATTAGAGTTGATTCAAATTTCCCGTCTGAGGAGTTATGAAGGAGATGAATTCAATACCATTGAATTTATTTGTGTAAAGTTATCGCTTCCTGGTAACTTTATATACATAACTTGCTCTTATATTCCGCCGTTGTCTGAACTTCCTGATTATTTAGATCACCTATCCGTTATTAAGTCCGTTGCAAATAATCTTTCCGATAGGGATCAGTTGATAGTTCTAGGTGATTTTAATATACCTGGAGTTACTTGGTCCACTGAGGATGGATCGAATGTCTTACTACCTATAGCACAACATGATTTTATTGATGGCCTGCTTGACATATCTCTATCTCAAGTAAACCATGTTCGAAATTCATTAGGTCGCCTACTTGATTTGTGTTTTGTATCGAATCCTGAAGGTGTGTTTCTGTCCAGAGTAGCACCACTCACGCAACCTGAAGATCCATATCACCCAACAATCGAACTTTCATTTGATACGGGTAGAGTTATAGAAGAAAAATCAGAAAAATCCAAACGAATACATTGTTTTCGCAAGGCAGTCTTTCTGAGGCTTAATAATTTTATTTCTGGCTTTAATTGGTCTGATCTTTACTTATGCAATAATATGTCCGATGCAGTTAATGTTTTTTATACTGCAATAAACTCATTTTTTAATTCCTGTGTTCCGTGGTACT